ATTCCTGCTCTTCCCACTCAAGGATTGTTACCTGGCTGGGTCAGGTGGCCAAGGCAACCCGTAGTTACTCGATCGCTAGCCAGCAGGTTTCATTATGTGGTGTTAATGAAATGGTTATTATAGCTTTAGTTATGGTGAAAATGTAACTGATTTCTTGGTTTGTGCCCCAAAGCGATTTTTTTTGGTTTGTTTTATTTTGTAAATGCCCATGGATGTGGAAGTGGCTCCCAAATTGTTTGGCATGCTGATGATTGGCAGCCTTTCAGGAGGTTCAAATACATAATGATACAGTAGAACAGGTTGGTTGCATTCCTTCTCAGTACAAGAGTGTCCTTTTTAGAAACCTGGAAACTCAAATATATTAGTCCTGGCTGTTAGATTTGACCAGCGGCAATCAGGGAACTGCACTTCCATGATTATGGAAGGATCGTGGATTGAGTTGTGAAACTACAATCGCTGTCGTGTGGCTTTCCCTGCTCTGGAGTGAAACGGAGTATGTTACTCAGCATTTGGGGAGGGAGGATGTGGAGCACATTCACTTTTGTTCTTCACTGGTAAATAGCGCTTTTTTTTTTTAATATTAACACCATGCCATATCAGATATCCTCTTGTCTTCTCTTACTGCATCAGGGCCAGACGCCATTCGACGTGGCCGATGAGGGACTAGTTGAGCATTTAGAAATGCTGCAGAAGAAACAGACTGTGGTGAGTTTCTGACAGATCATTTTCCACCTCTCCAATTACCTTTTCATGCATGGGTGTTCTCTAAGACATATGGCATCAACAGACGCAGGAAGCTGAGGCCCAGCTATTTTTTTTATGTTAGTCATTTGGAATCTATAATTACACCAATATTTTTAATAGCTAGAAATCTAGAAAACTGGATGACTGCATCAAGAAGGTCTTGATGATATGCAGAATTATTTAAACTGGTAAAGAATGTATAGTTCGTCTTTGGAATTGTTATTCTGCAGTTGCTTTTGTTAGCTGGCAAGCTCGCTAGCATCAAACTGCACTTTTCTTAATGAATGATTACCCAAGTCAACTTTGTGTTTGCATCTAAGGAAATATGCTGTCAGTGTTGAGAAAGATCTGTAACCATGTCTGCCTTTCTCACAGTAGGGAGACTTTTGATTGAGTGAGAAGAAATTATAAACTTCCGGGAATTCTGGACTAAAAAAATTGGTGATTTCAAAACCATATTAAATTGCCATTTCATAATGCAATGGAGATATTGGAAGGGGTTATAAGCAGAAAGTTGGCATAAAAAGGGAAAGCAAAAATATATCTTGATCAAAGTAAAGCAGAAAGTTGGGTTTGGGTTGCATTTTTTCCTATTTCACCTGTTCTACTCAATTATCTTATTTAGGTGCTTCCAAAAAACCAAACCAACCTTCTTTAAAAAAAATAAAAATCAGTAAGTATCGTTTAAAATGTTGGATTCAGAAACAGACATAATGAGAACACTGCTGATAAAACCCAGTAAAGTATTTTGAGGAACTGACAATGTGGGTGGTAGAACTCAAGCTCTGATCATAACACAGCTGCTGTCATCCTTAAATAGCATCCTTAACACTCACAGAAACGTCTAAAAAATTATTCAGCTTCTCCCTAAATGAGGTGTTGATAAATACTATCAGTGTTGTATTTTGGATTTCCTCCTGTGTCACTACATCAAGATTCTGCAGATAACTGCACTCCTTAGAAGAAAAGAAAAAGAAAAAGCAGAACAACAAGAATTTTTTTGGGTTGGGCGCTAGCCCATTTTTAGGCCTGCTTCGCAGGGGCTAGCAACCCCCCTTGTTCTCTATATAGTAGTACTATAAAAAGGCCTTCTCCATTTATTAAATTAGTGTAGCAAGCTGTAGTAGAACTGGGAAGAAGGCAAGAATCCAGACTTTATCGCACTTTTTTTAGTGGATATGATTTTTTTAATAGAAATGCCATTTTATCATGTGTGTTTATCATGTGCCATTTTTATAACTTAAAATAGAAAACTTACATTTGTTAAGGATGAAATAGGCAGTTCCACAACATTCCTCTAAGTACATTATTTCACTTTCAAAATGGCTCTCAAATCAGAACTTTTTTTAATCTAAAGCTTGTAGCAGAACAATATGGTGTCCTTGCTAAAAGATATGCTGCTGTTATTGGAGAGAAGAGGGGACTTTTTTTGCTGGAAGCAATTAATGTGCTTTGGGTTTGGATTTTTTTCCCCCAATCTCTGAATTACCTGTGAATGGAGCAGGTTGTTTCCTGCGCCTCCCTTTCCTGTGCTCCAGCAGTTTGTTCTATTTAACAACATGCTGTACCACAAATTTTGGCTCTGCTGGACTCCACGTGGCTTTTGCTGCATTCAGAATTTGCAGAGCTTTTGCTTCTTGTGCCTGGTGTCAGCTCCTATCAAAAGAGAAGGAATAACTAGGCTAGACATGACACAAAAGAGACAGCCTTAAAAGCCAGCCTCTAATTGCCATCCCTTTTTCTACCTCAACTGTGTCTGTGCTTCTAGAAGGTACTGAAACAATTTTTTGGTTACTGTTTTGTCCATCAGTGGTGACAAAATTAATATTGCTGTTCTCTGGGCAAAATATTTCCGTTGCTGTGGTGATCACAGGTATTCTTGTGTGATGACTTAGTGCTGGCATTTGAGGGATTTAAGAAGTGCCCCATCCTCATGGGAGAGCCGTCGGTTGCCTGTAAAGGGCATCCTTGAATGCTTTCCTCTGAGAGCAAGTAGATAGTAGTTACAAAGGCAGCAGATTTTTGACAGTCGAGCCTGATTTCATGGGCAAACGCATGTGGACAGACCTCCAGCGCTGCGTCTGCGTGGGCAGGTGCAGGGCAGTGGTGTGGAAGCCGGGATTTGACTCTGGGTCTCAGCAGGGACTGCTGCAGACTTCTCGGAAGGTTTTATTAAATTGCAGCTTGAGTCTAAGGGCATGCTGGGTGTGTAGCTGTGCCCTTATGGAGCTCTAGTCCAAGACATCCAGTGCTCTTGCAGATGTGCATCTGTTGAATGCTTGGCTTGTTAAACAAATCCACAGTATTTTTCATCTAACGAGGTTGGGATGACCTTATGCTGTGGTAATTATTGGATTGTGCTGAGGTGGCTTGTTAAGATGTCTCTTTTCATTCTTTCTCCAATTTTTTTGGACTTTTTGACAGTTGCGAAGTGAGAAGGAGACGAGGAATAAGCTAATTGAAGCTGACATGAACGGCAAGCCTCAAAGAGGACTCTTCACCAAGTATGTCTCTTTCCTCTGTTGAAAAGAAGCTGCACAGAGAGTGATGGGAGACCAGCCTCATCTGTTAGCAGTCAGCTGGCATCAGCTGGTTTTAAAGAAGTTCACTGCTGTTCACGTTCATTTCATGGTTTCTTTTAAATTTGAGCTCTCTCAAATACAGTTTTAGCTGTTTCTTAACATACCTGCTGAATAGTAGGACAGGAGTTGGGTTTGGCCCCCAGCTTCTGCTCTTGCTGAGTATCAGTTTGACCTTTGGGCTGAGAGCTGCACCTCTGCAGCTGCACAGCCATACAGCCCAGCTGACGGGTTGTGTTGCGCTAGGAAAAGAGACACCACGTTTTTTTGACCGAGAAATGCTTGCAAATTTAGGAAATGCGAGGCTGGCATTGGAATCCATGGCAAATCGGCAGTGCTGGAAATGCTGCGACATTGAGTCTGGAGATGGATTTTGTCCTTTTGCTTGTTCTGTATATAGCAAATCATGTCTGTGTGTTCCCGAGAAGTAGAACTCAGAAATAACTCGCTCGCCTGGCAGTCCTTAAAATTTTTGTGTCTTGCAGCAAAGAGAAGATCCTTTATGAGGAAGACACGCTGAAGTCCATGGAAATGGAGGAAGAGAACAAGGACTCCAGCAGTTCTAGTTCTGAAGAAGAAGAAGAAGAAGAAGAAGCTGAAGAAGATGAAGTTTCAGAATCAGATGCTGAAAAGGAGTCAGGTAAGACTTAGTACAGACTAGAATTTAATAGTTAGCCTAGCAATATTAGGGGATCAGTTTAAGAACTGCTTTTTTTTTTTTTTTTTTTTTTTTGGCTTAGTTGTTAAAGACATCCTGAAAGTCTTACTTCCAGTGTATATGTATAGAATATGGAGAACTCTGTAGCTAGTGTACTAAGAAAGCTGATCTAAATGCTGACTCTCAAGTCAGCATAATTTTTTAAAAAAAAAGCTGCAGATAGTATTTTAATTTTGACTTCCAGCTCACTTGAATTCAAGATAACACATTGTTCACAGGCTGTTCTTAAACAGTAGGTTTTTTCTTGTTGGCCGATTTCAGGATGAACACTTCAGTTACTATGAGATGGTAGAAATGCAATTGAACACGTAGGAAGGTAATAGCCTGTTGTATTTGGATCAGAGAAATGAAATGAAGGGCTGAAGCTGTTCTGTGTAATTATAGAGATGAGGAACTTCTTTCTGACTGTGATGTATAATAATTGCAGAACATAGTGGAAAATAAGGATTAAGTACATTGAGTCACGTTAGCCTTTACATTATAGCATATTGCTGGCATCCTACTTCCTTCGTTTCAGTCTCTTTTTCCATAATTTCTAAGGCTTCCTTAGTTTAAGCAGCATGTGTATATATATATATGTGCAGCACAGAAAGTTTAAATGAAGATACTTAGTTTTACAGTAAGCCAAGACTTATTTGTACTTAATGTTTCTGCAAAGAGAACTTGGACTATGATGTGTTTAATGGTTAAACTACATCAGCTTACTTGGCTTATATCCCAGGATACTTATAAGTAAGTCCTTGCAGAGAAGTGTAGTTTAAAGTTTTGTCCTGCTTCTTGTGCCAGTAAAATTGTCACCTGCATTCTAATTGTATCAATTACGATGTTTATCACAGCACGAGAGGTGTTGAGAATCCTGGCTGGTCTCTGCAGAGCTGGTAATTGCAGAAGCTGCGTGGGTATGACAGTGACACAGTGAAATGATCTTTTGGCTTTTGAATCAAGCAAATGCGGTGGAGAAGTCAGTGGTAGAAACAGGCATGAAGTAGGAGGCACATTTATTTGCTCCATGGATTTATGGGTTTACAAGGCGGCAGCCCTGTATAGCTATGTGCCAGTTCTTGTAAACATGGGAGGAACTTGACCAAAACACCTCTCACGTATGTATAGCTGTAAGAAGTGGAGCTGTGCGGTGTTTAACTGATTCAGGAACAGCCTAAGATCCTTCAGCAAGGGAAGTGTTACAGCACTCAGCATTAAATTTTGTGTAAAGTCAGAGCAGGTCTTTTTACTGAGTGAATTCACTGAGCAAAGCACATTATACTAATCTATTTCAAACCACTAAAGCTAAAACAAATTGAAGACAAAAAGCATTCAAGTAATGATTTAAGCATCAAGCTTCAGGTTTTGTTACCTGTGCTGTCCTTTTCTAGAGAGATTATTGGCTCCTTTGAGAAATTTCAATCAGAATTGAAACCTTACCTTGTAAATCTCTCAAATCTCTGATAAAATGAACGTCAACTTGTCCAGCTGGATGTAGACATCGTTGTCAGTTGTTGCATATGTGCGTAGGGTGCACATTTTCAATACTCTTTAAAACAAGGTTCATGAGATAACATCAGCCCACATGTTATAGGAGGACTCCAAAGAGAAATAGGGATGAAAATAGCTTTTCACAGAAAAGCATAAATGTCACAGTATTACTACTTTCAAACACAATCTTAAGAACAATTATGCTTTATTATCTGCTAGACATTTTAAATGCTTGGATGGATAATAGGAGGCATGTTTTTGAAAACATGGAAATTATTTCCTTATTCCTCTTCATTTTCTTCTGAGATTTAATACTCACATAGCTTTATGATTCTAAACAGTGCTGGACAGATAGAAGATGACTGTTGTCCTAAAGCGTTCAAACTCCGGGGGGGGGAAGCCAAAACATTGTTATGAGTGATCCTTTTTAAATTAAAAAAAAAATTAACTCCTTTGGTAACTGAGCATAAGGTGGGCCAAAGTAGAAGCTGGCAGTATAACACAGAACTTTGCTTTTAAGGTATGTTTTGAAGGGTCTCAGGTTGCAATAAATTTGTGGAAATTGCAGAGAATGTGGGAGGAGAAGAAATTTGAAAAGGTGAGCTGTGAAATTGTTGGAGTGCCTCAGAGTACCATGTTTTTTACAGTCTGTAAGAAATTTGTGTTCTTCAAACAAAAGAAGCTAAGTGCAGTAATGCCATTTTATTCATCTTAAGGACAATTAACAATTTGGCATTGGGTTGTATATAAACAAGAGAAAGATCCGTATAAAATCCTGTGGTCATTATCTGTGCAGGTAACTATTACAATAGGTAATTATTGTGAATTAAAGCAGGCCAGGGAAGCTTTCAGTGTTTAGAAAAAATAAAGCAAGCAAAACAAAAAAAGGAACCCCCCTCAAAAAACCCTTAAGAAAAATGACATTTATGCCACATTAGAGAACTAAACTTTCAGTCTCGCCAAATTTGTTTTAGGGAGATGGAGCTAATCCTGACCTGTTCCCCTTGATTGGAATTCATAATGTTTATTGCTGAAATTTTAGTAAAACACAATGTGGGATCCTCCCCTAAAGACAGCGATGCCTATGGTCATGCAGTCTGTCACGCCGCCCGTACAAGGTACTTCTGCCTGTCCTTCATCTGCAATTGACTCCTTTTGGTCACATTGCTCACAGTTAGAGTTCTTTCCAGCCTGTCATTACCACTTAAGCTTGTGCCCTTGTAATTAGGTTTGACTTTAAAAGTTGACCCTTGTACTATAAACTTCCAGAACGGGCTACAGTCACCATCTAGCCCAGCCTGTAAAGCCTGCTGGCTGTCAGGTCAGGTCTGTCCTTCCCTTCCTGCAATGTCAAGGGTTCTCCTGTGTTTTACAGGCTTCACTCTCAAGAAATCGGCAAATGGCAAGCATGTAATTTTTTGTCTGTATGCATTTCCATGGACTGCTGAATGCCAGGTCAGGCCAGCAAGGAGAAATGGGTAGTAATCTACTGCCCCTTCCTAAAAGGGCTGCTTGAAAGTGCAGTGCCTCTGCATGTTAGGCTCAAGAAATGAAATACTCTGTTTAGATGACTTTGATGGAAGTTCTGAGATAACACAGAGAGAGGGAAAGGTGGCTGAGACTTCAATATCATGCAGACCTTGTGAAACTTCAGTATCACGCAGGGGAGATGCATCTTTGTCTCTTTAATTCTGGATCTGTCAGGCCTGCTAACTGCCTGTTATTTTTAAATGTTTCTCTTGGCTTGCTCTTTTCTGTTTACCATGTCCTTTGAATCCTATATTCTAGGAGTAAGAACATTTGTTTCAGAAAGATTGATCTTCGTGCTCCAAGGTGCCATCCTCACAGATGCTCCATACCAAACTGCTTTTTATATGTAATAGAAGATCTTTATTCACTGCACATACCTCATTTACTAGTACTGTTTGGGTGGTTACACATAAAATGACTTTGTTTTTTCAAAACCATGACTGTGTGAGGCACTCATAGCTGGGAGAGGAAAACATTGTTCTGTTGGTGTAGGCACATCATTTCTCAGGCACCTTGCATGTGGCTGTGTTTGGTAAAGTCTGTCTTCGAGTCCTGTGCACTCCTGTCAAGTGAACCTATTGCCTGAGACATAGTTTCTGCTTACTGTCCCCCTGGTAATGTCTGGTGGATGTTCTTATGTCAAGCATGGTGCATAGATACAAAAAAAGCATTTAATACTGGATGGTTGCACTTGTCTAACAAGCAAGGAGTCAGCTGTGAGCTTTGATAGTGTTTGCTTAGCTTGCTTTGAGCCCCGTTCAACATTTTTGTTGGGATTCAGTCCTAGCTTCCTGGAGAAAAACGGATTTTGCTGTAGAAGACCAGAAATTCTGCCCACCAGCATGAGCAACTGCAGCGGAACCATGCAATGAAATCCACCACCAGGCCCACTCGGGGACGCGTGCTATAATGCATACTTGCGTACTGCACTAGGGATGGCTTGTTCTGCTTTTCCTGAGTGTACAGGGAACAACAGTCCCTCAGAGGAAATAACATTGTGAATAAACAAAAAAAATCGGTTTGTCCTCCTTACGGTGCTTTCTGCAAAGATTTTGCTTGTCTGTGGGGATGAAGTTCAAAAGCTTTGCCTGACAAATGTATCCATCATGTTTTTCAGTAAGTAGAAAGCCTCCTTGCAGAAAGCCCTGGTTAGCCTTCGCACTGACATCATCTGTTTGATCTAAGGCGTACTGAGGTCACGGCAACTCGGAACTTGAGTTTAGTGCACACTGTGCTTGTAAAGAAGGGCCTTGGAAGTGCAATACTGAAACATTTGGTTTCTCTTCTTGTTTAAAATTGTAGAAAGGAAGGAAGAGCCCTTTGCCAACCACTCCAGCCATGAAACCAGGCCTAGCATCACTGAGCAAATACCACCACCCGAGCCCAACTCCTTCACTGCATCTGCCAGAAGAGTAAGTGAATTTGGAATCAATGGGGACTCCAACAGAGCTTGAGAGCAGTAGGTTTTTGTGGGAAATGGACTCTGATTTTCAGAGGAGTAGTAAGACCTGAATTTAGGATAGCATGATAGTATCCAATTTTGATGAAGATGCTGTGTTAACAACAGTATAGGACTGGCACAAAGGAGGATGTCTGTACGATAAGGTTCCTCTTGAATCTCCTACCCTCTGAAGCAAATTGCACTGTTCACAAGAGAAACCCCTCTTCACCGCGAGTGCTTTGTGTCGCTGTCCGTTCTGAGACAGCTGATGCCAATCCCTTACCAGCAGGAGATCTTTCACCAAAGCTGGTTCCTGCTGATGTATCAGCAGTGAATTTGGCATCATCATCTGAAGTGCCTCTGACTTGCCAAACTCACTTGATTCAGTGGCGTGATGTTACAGCCCAGTAAGCAGAGAAGGTAAAGTTTGCATCTGACTAGCTAGCTAGGCTATGAAAGCTTTTTAAAGGTGAAGTAGAGTTACGGAAATGTTCCCTGAATTCTCCAGCTCTCACGTCACTCAGCTAGATGGCACCAGGAGACTCTCTTCTGCTGAGGACTGGTATCTTGTGCTTCTGGTTTCTTTTTGCACCAGAATACGGAGGACAGCTATACAGTGCAGGCACATTGCCAAAGTCTGAAGCACTAGGTACATGTTAGAGGGAAAATGTTTCTTGCTTAGTCACAATTTTTTATTTTTGATGCGCTACGGAGTCTAACTTCTCGTCCAGATCAAATGAAATAGAGCTCCTCTGGGCGTTGTTCAACTCAGGCTGACTTAGCAGGGGAAGTATTAAAGGGAGAAGGATACTGGGAAGTGTGAGCACTTCAGTTAACCTTTTCCCAGCTGCACAGTATTGTTCTCACTCATTTGAGCTTTTTAGCCCTGAATAAGGCTGTTAGGGTATAGAAGAGGACCTGTGTGCAAAGCAGTTACTAATTTGACTTCAGTCACTTAAGATCGGCTACTTTACCTTCTCTTACGTGTTCGATTCTTCTGTAACTCTTTTTGTCAGATTGGGTTTTATATGGGAAAATATGAGTGCTTGTGTTGCCCTCCATTTGTGGAGTATTACTATTCGCTGTTCCTATGCTGTTCAGAAATTACAGAAGGCAGCCTTTACTGTGGATTTGAGCTTTCTCTGAGGAAAGTGTCAAAACTACATTGAAGCGTTAGAGCTGCGTAGCTCCGTAGACTGGAAGTGCTAGAATTAGTGGAGTACAGATTAACTCTGTGCATCTGCATTAAAATAACATTAGCTGAGAAACACTGCTAAAATACTGCAGTGATAATTTTATCTTTGCAGTCTTGAGTCAAGAGTTTGAGAGCAGAGCTTCCCAGTAGCTTCATTTATTCTGGATAATGTCAGATATTTTGTGTTATGTAGAATGTGGTATAATAATGCTTATATCAGTTTTGACCGAAAGCCTTGTCTACCCCAGTATCCTGCCTTTGACAGTGACCATCAAAAGATACTAGAGAAGACAGAATCTAGGTGGACTTCTCTCCCACCTTCTAGCAATTTGCCTTTCAGGGATTTGCTGAACCTGTAGTATTTTTTGTATTCAGTACACCCTGTTAGACTTTTCGTCTGTGAATTTATGCAGTCATTTTTTAAGTGCCCATAATGTTTGGGATTCTGTAATGTCCAATGACAAAGGGTTCTTCGGCTTGATTACATATTGTACAGAGCTTCCTGCACCTGTTTCTTTAAGCCTACCACATGCTGGTTTTGTTTGCTGCCCCTAGTTTCTTTATGGGAAGGAACAAGGAATAATTTTCCTTATTCACCCTTTGGTCTGCCACTGAGGACTTTGTGTACCTTGGTCATATCTCAGCCTGGAGACTCCTGATACACTGAATAACTCATAAAAAAGCTCTCTTGCTCTACTCACTCTTGTTGCCTTTCTCTGAATCTCTTCCCCTTCTTCTATACTGCTTTTTGAGCTTGGAGCCAAGCTGTGTGTGATATCAAAGGTGTGATTGTACCCTGCAGTAACACAGAGGCATAATGGTGTTGTGTTTCACGTTCTATACATTTCCAATAATTCCTGTTGTATAGGAAATCAAGCAAACAAAACAACTCGTCTTTGTGGAAGCATCTCTTGCGGTGTCCAGGCTCCATTCTTGAATAGCAGTAGGCATCTTTTTGTAAGACTCGGTAGCGATAAATGAAGTTGTACATTTAAGCAGTTGTATATTTGAGGAATAATATATGCTTGTCAGAAGTGCCTCATGTTACAAAAAGCAGGAAGGAATATGTGGTTACCTGACCATGGAAAGGTTTAAGCTAGAAGGGGCCTCTGCAAGCCTGTAGTCCAGCCTCTTGCACAAAGCAGGGCCAACTTCAAGCCTGTGTCATGTTGCTTTGAACTACTTGAGCTCAGCTGAGTATTGAAAAGTCTCTGAGGATGGAGGTGCCCCACTGTCTTGCTCCCTGTCCCAGTGCAGCATTGCTCCTACCAGGAGGTATGTCTTCCGTCATGTCAATTGGGATTTCCCGTGTTGGAACTTGTATCTGTTCCTCCTTCTTTCACTGTAGACTGTTGAGAAGTTGTCTGGTTCGATAGCCTCTGTAATCCCCACCCCCCAAGTAGCAGAGCGATTAAATCCTTTCTTTGCCTTCTCTTTTCCATGCTAAACAAGCCAGGTTTCCTCAGTCTCTCCCTTTACATGTTGTGTGCTCCAGCTCCCTAATGATCTTAATGGCTTCTTCTGGACTCTCTCCAGTTTGATCTGTGTAAGGGTTTTATTTGCAGCTAGTCTCAAAAGAGCTGATTACTTTTTTTTGTTTTCTGCCTTTCTTGAATAATTCCCCCGTTCTAAACAGGTGCTAATAAAAGCTTCATTGTTCCTTATATTCTTTCTGCAAAGCTGGAGGAGGGCATTGTGTAGGCAAAGAGAGCTGCACGATGACACAAGATTTCTTTCATTGTCTGTCCTTGGGGATGAGGGCGCTACGGCAGTTTGCATCCCTGTGAGTTCACATTGAGCTGTGTCCTGTAATTAAGCTAAGCAAGAAATGAAAGTCACTCCATCTTACATTTACAGGCGTAGCCCAACAAGAATTGGGGCTTGTTGAAACACTTTCAAAACTTAGATTGTGCCTTGCAGTGCTCTTCCTTCTTCCCAATGTCCCTTTTTCTCCTCTACAGTTCAGTTGGCTCAGCAAGTCGGACGAGCAGAAGGATGAGTCACCTTCATCGTGGCGGCTGGGACTGCGGAAGACTGGCAGTCACAACATGTTGAGTGAAGTTGCTGCTACTCGTGAGGCGCAGAGAGATAAGACTTCTTCTATCTATCGTTCTTCGTCAAGTCCTCGGATATCTGCATTATTAGACAACAAAGAAAAGGTTTGGCTTTCAGCAAAGACGTTTTAGTGCTTCCCGGTTGAGCAGACTTTACCTCATAGGTTTAAAACCCCTTCCCTTTTGTTTTGAGTTATTGCTGGGTTTTGTATCCATAACAAACTTAGGTATCTTTCATTCTTTTTCTTTTGCAAATTATTCCTATCCTATCAGTTGTCCTGGCAGAACTGGAGTTCAGTTCTTCGACCTAATTCCTGCTCGGTTTGGAGTGGGCTGCCAGTGAACAAGGGCTGCCGGTCTGGCATGGCCCATTCTTTACCAGAAGATATCTAATCCAGACAGTAGCACATACCTGCAGTGGAAATTCTCCTTCACTGTCATCTGTATGGATTCCTCCTGGATCCACCAGCTGTATTTGTGAAACCTGTCCCATGTATTCACTAGCTGTAACTTTACTGCCCATGGATAGATGCCCCATCCCTGGAAACATTCAAGGTCAGGTTGGACGGGGCTCTGAGCAACCTGATCTAGTTGAAGATGTCCTTGCTTGTTGCAGGGGTGTTGGACTAGATGACCTTTAAAGGTCCCTTCCAACCCAAACTGTTCTATGATTCTCTGATTTATAAATAGTTCTGGTTAGAAGCCATTTTTATTTACTAGCATGCTCTTCAGGAAATCATTTTCAGAACTGATACTTTTATGCTGCGTTCTGCTTTGCCCAAGAAAATGCCTTAAATCAGTTGTCCTTAGACAGGAGAATGCTGTCTTGGTTGAAGAAATTTGAACATGAATTTAGTTGTCACTGAACGTGCTGGAAGTGTAACAGATGTGCAGTTGAGGTACTTCTTTTGCTTCACCAGGATAAAGACAACAAGAGCTATCTTGCCACAATAGCCCCCAGACGACTAAGCAGTACGAGCGATATAGAAGAAAAAGAAAACAGGTGAGACTGACTGAACTTAATGCTCAGCCTCTGTCCTGTCGATAGTTCCTCCAGAATACCTTTTTTTCTATATTCATGCTTCGTATTTTCTCAGCAGTCCCAAGTACATGGGAATTCCCAATATCGAGAGCTATCTCTGATCTATAAAAGTTCTGGTATCTTGCTTTTCATTTAGGTGAGCAGGGCAACAGGCTGGTTTCTCCACCCCTGTATTCATACATACATGGTCTTCATCCAGGAAACTAGATTTATGCATACTTTTTCCTTTTATATGCAAGTGCCTCATTTTGTAGCTGGCACCTACACTTGTACTTCTGTCACTTGCTCAGGAGTCACCTTCGGTCCCTTTGTTCACACATCTGTCATTTTTTGATTCACTTGAGTTTGTGAACTCCCTCGTGTATGGAACTGCTTCCATTGCAGGGGGTGTTTTTATGGTGAATGTGTGTAGTTGCCCCTGGACAGAACCACAGTATAAATGCTATAAATATCTACTATCTCAAGATATATTTGAGGAGCTAATCTCTACAAACAGGTTCTTCACAGTTTGTGCTGGAAGGAGTAAAATTTGAGCTTAGCCTCACTTCCAGCCAGTCCCACAACCGTGGTGGAGAGGCACATATAGAGAAGTCATTGTGAACTGTAATTGTTGTGAAGAAGTCACGGCAGATGACCACCCTGAGAGAATTTCAGCACAGTTTGAGATTCTTTGCTGATCTTTTGCTGGAACCTCCCTGCTGTGTTCTTGCTTAATCTCAGCCAGTCACTGTGATTTGGAATTTAGCCGACAATTTGCGTCTGTTGATAAGCTTGGGCGGTTTTGGCAGTGGCTCCTATTGAGTGGCATATCCAGCTGACTGCTGATAAGTGTCCTTTGCTGGGTAAAGTAGGGAATGAGGAGAACTGGCCCGCATGAACAGATGGTTCCCAGACATACTGCGTAGTACAGATTTTTCCCAATATTCTCTCCTTTCAAAACAGCTGAGTTTCACTTCATGGAACCCACAGGTGTCTGAAAGGGCATCAGCATGGACATGGCAATTGAAAAATGAAAAATAATTGCAGGCTGACGAGTTAATGGATTTGTGTTGCATCTGGTCCTGTCCAAGGCCAGAAAAGAATAGGACATACTGCTAAAGTGTGTGTTAGGAAAAGGAGCCCCGATTTCAGATAACTATGATAAATAGGACTACTAGTAATTTATTGATAACTTGTCAAGTAGTTTTAGATATTGCAAAATATTTTGTTGTTTGTTTTCTGCAGCTAAGCATAGCAAAGGATTTGCCATGCTGAATTGCTTTTCTGTCATTGCCTGGATACCTCAGAGAATAAAACCTTCCCCTGCAGTTGCAGTATCTGTCCATTTATGCAACGTTGTTTGATAGAAGGCGGCAGAGAGAATATCAAATAACGTTATTTAATATGTTAAATCACTTTTATGGACAATCGAAATTTCAGTTGCAAGTGTTCTGACTAAAAAGGGTCTTGTTTCTCTTTATGCAAAACATTACATCATCTGGTGATTCTTAAGCACTACAGCTGGCAGTAACAGACAGTGGTGGTAAGGCCAGAAGAGGTGTTTTGGTGGGTTGTGTCACCTGCGAGCGACGGTGCGCGTAGGTGTAAGGGAAGGATTTGTGTTGTGGAACTGTAAAGGAGCCAAAAGCAGACTCCAAAAGTTTTTTTATAAACAAACCTTGTGCTCTCTCCTGCATTAGAGAATCAGCTGTTAACCTAGTGCGGAGCGGCTCTTACACCCGGCAGCCGTGGAGGGATGAATCAAAGGGAAATGAAGCTCCCCATTCTGGTGCACCTACTACCTACGTATCTACCTACTTGAAAAGGTACGTCCAGTTGTGTCTTCCATGGGCTCCCAGGCAGTCAGTTCCGCTCTTAACATGCCTCCCAAACTTCAGCCTTCTGCTTGCCGCTTACTGCATCAGTGTAACTGGCCGTGGGACACTCTTCTGCTGAGAGCAGGAAATAAAAATTAAGATTTGCCGACATCTGTCATGCTAAATAGTATTTTTAAAGGCCATCATTTTTGTTGATTTGTAAGTTGCTGAACTGAATTTAAATACTCTTGCTCACATAATTCAATTGCAAAGTGTTTTCTCAGTTTTATGCTAGTATTATGGTTAGATAATAAAAATTGATCATAAAAAGAGAATAATTACAGTCTGAAAGCATTGTTCAAGTAGTTATTGACAGGTAAGTTGTAGCTCATCTCTAATTTTGTTTTATATTAGTCCATGTTCTTGTGCATGACTTACAGCACTTGCTAAGGAGTGAGACTGATGTCTCCAACCATTTTTTTTGTGGCAGTAAGGAAGCAGTTTCTGCACAGTGTATGTGAAATTGTAGAGGCTGATTGTTGGTAAACTAGCCAAGCAGAATTGGGAAAGCAGTCCTGTGCATAACTTCGTTAATTGGCAGTTTCTTTTACCGCTTTGGAAGGCAGAGGCTCAGTGAAGTACCAGATAATGCCTGTCTCTGAATGAGGTGAATTGTTTGCCTTAACGGAGCAAGGCATTCATACATTACTGAGTTTTCATCTCAGTTGTGAGAAGGAGGATCAGTCCTTTGTGCAAAGTACAGTTCCATCGCCTCACCTTTATTTTAGCTAACACTGGAAACCATCAAAACAGCATGTATAGACATGTCACGCTGCAAAGCCATTTGATCTGTGCTTAAGCAAAATGCAGAAATATTTCAAGGGCTTAGATTGTGTTTCACCAAATTCTAGACCCTGAACTAAATAACTATTCTGAAGACAGAACAATTGCTTGAGATATTTGGGAAGAGGCAGATTTTTTTGTGTTCTAGTGCTTATGCTGGTAGAGGTAAGTTGTGCTCAAGGATACGTCTGTCCAATTGCTGAGCATATACAGACCCATTTCCACAAAAGGTGAAACAGCCACTTCAAGCAGTAGACTTCTCCTGATCTGCTGATCCATTCCAGTGACTTCACATCTATCCTGGGACATGATGACAGGCCAACCTCCATAGCTTGTCTCTCTCCAAAGGCAGTCCGACAAGCTGCAGCTGATTACACTGGAAAACTTTTGCCTCTTGCTGCTGGCATGCCTTACTGCTCCCTAATCTGAGAGACCGTCCAGTCGCTAACGTCACTAACGTGGCTGTCCATTAAACGGCCAATGTTTGTAAAACTTTATCTCAGCTAATCCTGAACCAGATTTAGTATTCCATTCACATCGCTGTAATGTGTTTGGTTGGTTAAACTGTACAGAGACTAGCGAAGGTTTTGGCTGGCAGTGGTATTTCACTAATACCGATTTATTGTCACAGAGGCTGAATTCTGGCCTTTCGCAGGAGAGTGTTGGTTTACAAGCAGTTAGGGAATAGCTTTGCCTGGTAGGAATAAAGTGTATTTTTTTTAAAGAGATCAATGGTTTTGCATTGTATGTACAAACAGTAAAATCATGATCAGTTTGATCTCTATCCTGTATGGTTTTCTATAGAAGAGCACAGAGAAATTAAATATAATTGTATTGAACTTCTGATTTCTCCAGCCTTGTGCATCAGCCTCTAAGATGAGGAAGGCAACCTGGTTGCTTGTTAAAGGATGAGCTCTTTGTAATTTCCAAGTATTAACAAAACTCTGAACACAACTCCAAAAGATAAAAGCTCGTTCTGAGAGAGGAGTTAAAGTGAACGTGGCATACTTGGATGTTACTGGGAGGACAACTTCTGTACATCTGCATTTACCCTTTACCTTAGCATTTAACTAATCTCTATAAAGGTACCTGGTTATGTTCTGTAAGCGCTTTATACGACCCCCAAACAAAGAGTGAACAGCAGCAACAGATCATCTTAATATGTTGAAAATGGCTTTTCTTTTAAAAGGTGAAAAAATAACTTGCAGCAATGTTGCAAATGTTCTTCAGCTTTAGTTGAAGCAAATGTTAAAGCGCTATCTGTAGTAGTAGTGACTGTCATTCATTCTACTTTATGGGTGTACCACTAGCCCAAAAATTCACAGAACCCTGTTCTGACAGCCTGTTCTCCATTTCTGTGCATACTGGCCTTCAAACAGCCAGTTCACATCGCCTGTATGTGAAAGGATCTGGAGGAAAACCGGCATGGCAGATTGAATTAATTCACCATGCTTGCTTTGACATCAGCCACAAGAGATGTCTCACAGGAAGGGATCACACACACCAAAATGAAATCCCTTTTTCACACAGTTAGTTTCTCCTTCATTTTACGTATTTGCAGATTCACCTTCTTACTGGTTTTGTTCACATAAAAACCATCACAGCGAGTCAGGCCAGCAGTCCATACAGTCCAGACACTGTTTCTGACAGCAACTGGTTTGGAGGGACAAGTTGCAAAAGCTGGGATGACTCAAGAGCAGTCTTCCACCTCCCACATTCTCCTTGCTTCCAGCAATCAGGATGATTTTAGGAGCCAGGGGTCGTACTTAAACATTGTTCTTAACAGCCACCACTGTGGCCAGCTTCCATAAGCAAATCCTGTGTTGATCTCTGCAATACCCTATGGCAGTGTGTTCGAAAAAAAATACTTAGGTGTTTTGTGCAAACCTTTTTTTATTAGCATGTGTGGAAGCTTTTTAAGGTTTTGGAGCCTTTTAAGATTTTGAATTCTACTTGCTTTAGCTGTTTTCGGAAGTATTTTTTTTATTGATTTGAAATATTGCTTTCCATTTCATTGCTCATTCCCTGATGATTATGTTACGGTGATTATGTTAGAGAATGAGTAGCAGTGTGTCAGTGCCTTTTCTATTTCTAATGTTGAATTCTTTAGCATAAATTCATAATCCTCCTTTTTGCAGATTCATAAGAACACAGCTATTAATTAACAAGATTCCCTGGCTAACCATTTTCTTGCAATTTTCTGGTCCTGTTCACATCAAATGTGAACAACTGAATAAATGCTTTAGAGTCCTCCTCAAACTGCAGTGCCACCCATGCAAGGTGACACGGTGGGGAGGTGAACTCCTGTAGAGCTGGCAATGCCTTGGCTCCCTTCTTGTGAGCAGGGGTGTGTGCATGATGCCCCAGCACCGCATTTCTCCGCCCCGGGGCATGTGCGTGTAGGAGTTAGCACAACGCCATCGTCGTGCTCTTTTCCTCCATTCCTCCTTCTTCCCCTCTCGGCTCCCCCACATCTCTGCTCTACCAGGCACCGGGTGCTGCTTCCACCCTCTTGTCTCCCCTTTTCACCCATTACCTTTCCCTTCTGAAAGACAGTCCTTGTCAGGTCTTACTTAATAACCCTCCCGTGTCCTCCCTTCCTGACCAAGTTCCTTCTCTTTTTTGCAGCCACCCCTCGTGCCCCAGCCTCTCTGCCTTGGGGTCTCCTGGGACGGTGCCACATCAACCCTGCTCTCCCCAGGGTTGCCACCACATTTTCCCCTGCCGCTCCTCTTGTTCCTTCCCCTGGTGCACGCTCCACTTACCATCATCTTCTCAGTACACTCATTTCTGCAACTTCATGGCTGCTTGCTCTGCACGCCCACATCAGCCAGGCTTAGCTCCCCGCTCTCGCCCTCCTCCCAGCCCATCTCCAGGGCTTGGCCTTTCCCTCTGGTGCAGAGAGCCAAGAAGGGAGGCACTTGCTTCCAACAGGACTTCCTGCTCCCCAGTGCTCCGGGCAGAAGCCGGCTTTCCAGAGGAAGCTTTATTCAGGGTCCAGTGGAGGTTGCTACCTGGTGACAATAAGTTGCTTGTTCCTTTGTGACCTGGATATGGCAAGCAGCCATCAACTGAAGAGCCCAAGTGTAAGGCTGCTCCCCACGGACGCCTTCCAGGATGCCCCAGTCTCTCCTCTGGCCGTCTAGGGACCAGCTCCTTGTTCTGGGCTGGCTGGGGGCCTTGGCTTGTAAAACTGATTTGTAAACTGGGTGCCTAAGTGGATTGGACTGGCTCCTTCCTCCGACCCGTCCTTGGCTGTTGTCCTGCCCCTTTCAAGTTTTATTTCGTCCTTGGGCTGCTCTCTCTGACTGTGTGTTGACTTCCAGTTCCAGTCCGTTGTCCCTGGCTTTCCCATAAACCTGCAGCTCTTTGTCCTGTCTGCTTTTCCTCTAGGTCAGCTTTTATCCTGGTGCAGCCACTTTTCCCCATGCTCTATGTGCGCTGGCATGGGAGTCGGTAGGATGCAGGAGGTGAGAGGCAGCCTTCCAGCCTTCCTAGCCTTTGATCCTGCAGACAGCCCAGTCTGACCAGTAGCAACCAGGAATACCAGTTGCTGGGAAAGGCGTGGCAGGGTCCTAGGTCATGCACGCATGCTCGTTTGCTCTGTGCAGGCAACGAGCAGCCCGTATACGGGGCTCTGGCACATGCAATAAGGAGGTTTTGCCAGATTTCATCAAGTCTGTTTTTAGAGGTGTGCAACTTATCCCACTTAGGGTGGATTTCCTCTGAAAAAGCGAAAGGGTACATCCTCGTATGAGCGCCCTTCTCCTTTCCTCCTGTCTCTTCTCCAAAGTATGAGCACTTAAACACTTACAGCTTTTCAGTAATAATGGTTTTAAGGGTTTTGTTTTAAACTGGCAAAATACGTATTTCCCTTGCTCATTCTTGAATATTTTTTGGACAGTTTTGCTAGCTATTTTCCAGAAATACGGAGTTCGTGCCAAACATGCCTTAAAGAAAATTAAAGCCTGAACTGATCATCTTTGCCAAAGCTTTAAGCCACTGAAACAAGTTCTTAAAACTGGAAGTCCTGGGCATCTTTAGGAGGTGATGCAGCCAGACCTGCTTATGTCACTCTGTCCTTCCCTGCTTTAAGCAACCTCATCCTTGCTCATTGTTTCTGCCTCTCCCCAGAACACAGGGGTGCTCTGTGCGTGCCGCTTTCACCGCGGTAGTTTCTCCCTTCCCCGATCTTCACCGATTCGCCTCCACACCGTTACTCTCGCTGAAACTCGGCTGGGCTTAGCTAAGAGGGGTGCTGCTAGTGCTAGCCTGCGTGAGCGACCCGCAGCGACTCCGCTGTTCTCTAATCTCCTTGCAGACATTTTGCTAAGATGTAATACTTGCTCCCTTTCCAGCTGAGAGTCCAGCTGTGGTGATGTTCTGTTGAATATTTACTGTGCTCTGAAGGACGTGATTTTGTGATGTTTTACAGTGCTTCATTTGGTAGAAGTAGTGACCTCAGCAGTCCCTACATTTCAGCCAGTCGCAATACATCTCTAGCTACCTCACCCACTACCATTGGTTCATCTACCTCATTGGGCACCCCGTGGCAACCTGTCTCTTCCTGTCCCACATCTCTCGGTGCGAACACTACTGCATCAGCCCGCCAGTATACCAGGTAACGGCTCACAGCTGAGATAACGCTGCAGAAAATCAGCATTTGGGTTGGAAGTTCTGAATTCTGGAGTGGATTATGGATTGGAAATGTGCTTCCACGCAGGAAGCGCTGATTAGAAATCCCAGAATGGTTACGTTGGACGGTTTCAGTAGTGCGTATGCACCAGCAGGCAGCTAACAGCCCGTACGTGACCGTAGCTTCTTCGCTCACTGGAGTGGTCAATTGTGCCCTCTTGCTGCCCTGTTAGAGACACAGTGTGTTGCTCAGGCTGCTCTTGGGCGTTCAGTGTACAAGCTCTTGGAGTTCATTCCTTCTGCTTATTCACCAGGTACATTTTCTAATCATTTTTGCTACAAACAGGGCTGTGAAGACTGAATTCCTCCTGCTTATTCTTCTACAAGTTTTTAAAAACTCGTTTTAATGTGTGCTGTTCTCTACAAAAACACGAGTCTAGAACGAGGAGAATGAACTGTCGATGCTCCCTGGAGGTGGCTGGTCTCAGTCAGCAGTTGAGTTCACTTGCTTTGCTTTCCATTATGTCTTCTCTATTTCAGAGCCCCTTTCAGGCAACAAACTGATTCTGCTGTAGAGAAAAATACAGAGGGCATCTCTGCTAGCACCCCCCTAGGTGTAATCACAAATCGTGCTATACTCGGCTCTGCTAACGGTATTGCGAATGCCGGTGCTGCCTCCACTACAGGAAAGGACTTCTCAGCTGAGGAAGCCAGGGAGCGCAGAAGGTTAGTGAGCAGAGTGCCGGTGTGTGTTGGTCCTCCTCTCTCATCAGGTCTCGTGGTGGTGATGGGGGGGGTAAGAATGGTTCCTTAGGTGCTACGTGGAGTTAACAGGCTGCTGCTGCTGCTCCATCTTAAGGTTTTGAACCGAGTCATCACTGGACTGTACATTAAATTCAGTTTCATAATTTTCTACCTGTCTTTTCAGCCTCTCAGCCTTTTTCTTCAGTAGTCATCTCAGCTACTAATCTCAGTCCCTAAGGCTTCTATGTATAGAGGGACAGACAGCCCCGTAGCCGTTGGCAGCAGGTTCTGTAACGTGAATCCCATCCAAAAAAGAGCATTGGGCTGAGAGACATTCAGATAAAATCCCTCCCTCTGATTCTGCTCAGCTAAGTTTACGTATGCCCCGATGGAGACATCTTTGCTGTACAGGTTCCCTAGGTTCCCTCTGTAGCTAGTGGGAGAAAGCAAATGTTCCTGCAGCGTGCATTTCTTTTGATTGACTATAAGGGAAGACTTAGCACAGAGGTAGAAGTCTACCATGTGCAACCGAGGCTACTCCAGCAACAGCAGCGTTTTGAATTACTCTGAGTCTAGGCGGTGGTATCTCTTTCTTATTGTATGATCTTATTTTAAGACTGTGGAAATATAAATCTGGGGTAGCCAGTGCTCTTTTCAAAGGATATTTACCTTGGGTATTTAAGTGCAGAATATCAAATGATTGATATTTATTCCTGCAAACAGGTTAATTTTTGCAAAATCTGTCTCTTCTGATGAAAGTAAATGGCAATAAATAAAACGCAGCAATGAACTGTGTATTTCTAACTAGCAACCAGTTTGTGGAGTGTTTTCAGCAATTGGATTCTTCCAAACTAAAATAATAACTTCTTAAAACACAGGCCTTCCTGAGTGGTGATAGTCCGCTGACATATTTTAAATGGCCTGAAGCCAAAGGATGTGAAAAGCAGTGATGGAAATTACCAGCTTGCACAGATACAGGTGGCGGAGCTCAGCAGTGCCGCGTAGTCTGCAGTCAGCCACGTGAACTCTCCCGCGGAGGGAGGGCGTGCTCGCTGCCGGCTTCTCCTGCCTGCAGCTGCAGCAGATCCAAGAAGGAAGGTGGTCTGTGCTATTTGGAAAATACTCAAACTTTTAATGCTGTTCAGGCAGCTTTTTTTCTTTTTTCCCAGAGCTAGCACAGGGAGTGCTTTGAAGGTATTGCAGGCGTTCTACATGAGCCACATTTATCAACTCGTTGCAGGGGCATAATTTGAAATAGCTACTGCAGAGTATCTTTGTCGGTAAGAACACTTATGTTTAATATTAGGAGTGCCTCTGTACGCTCCTTGTCATGTTGCTAGGGGTCACTTGGCTTGGCGTCGTGTGCGATTGAATTGAGATGGGCTGCCAAGAGATACTCCCGGTGCAAAGTGAGATTGTGCAAAAGAGGACAGAGTGAGTATTGTGCTTTCAGTTCCCACTTCAGACCGTTTCACAACACTGTCTCCATTTTGGCAAGCCCAGAATCAAGTTGCAGAAGCTTTAGATTTTTCCCTGGAGAAGTGGGCTCCACAAAACCCACCAGACTTCTGGCACTGCCTGCAGATGGGGAATTTGACTGTGATAGTACTTGCAGATGCCCAAAAGAGCATCTATTAATATTACTGCATTGGCATTTATTGCCGAATCAGTTTCTATAAATAATATAGAAGATCTGTTTAAGTCTCCTGCTTTTTTTTTTTTTTTTTTTTTTTTTTTTTTGAGAACCATCTCCTATGAATTATGGTAATGTAAAGAGAAACACCAGAAAATTCCTCCCACCTTTAACTGATGCTTTGAAACTACTGAGAGGAAAAAAAGCGCAGCAATGATGCATTGTGCTTGTGGAGGAAACCTTAATTTATGAATGTATGTTCTAACAGCAGAATATACTGACTGGGGAACTGCCTGCACATTTTGAACTGGGAAACGTGGACCTGGAGAAGCAGAAGAGGTCACCTAAATGGGAAAAGCTTATTTTGGAAGGAGACCAATTCCAGTAAAATAAAATAAAAAAGGAAAATGGCCAACAATTGTCAGGGAAGCACTATATGGATTTCAGTTCCCACCGGCAGCTGTTGCAGTAGCATTTGGTCTGCTTCAGTGTTTCCAAAGCTGCAGCTTTCTCTTAGCAACAAAAACATAAACAAGCTTATCTAATATTAGATCACAGGGATGTCTCCTAACTTGTGGCCTTAAATTATCTGTGTGAAGCCAAAAGGTTAAAGCAGAAGAGGCTGCTGGGCCTGGGGAGGAACAACTAGCCAAGGGCTCCGGAGTGCTGTTTTGCATCCTTCGGTGGCCAGCACGCCTTACCCTGGCCCACCGCAGCGTTTCATCCGTGGTGTTTTACCTGCTGCTTGTTTGCTGGCTGAACTGGTCAGCAAGCGCTCCAGTAGCGGGATAATAGTGTGAATCACGCCTCATGTCGTTACAAAGGGGAGGAAAGAAAAAACCAGAAAAGGCAGCAGCGCCGGAGAGATGAGTCTGGAGGAGTGCCGTGCAGTCTGCCTACCCGGACGGGCCGAGGCCATCGCTGCCCTGGTGGCAGGGCCACGTGTCTTGGACGTTCAGCCAAGCTGCTGCCGTGCGTATTTACGTGTGCCCCGCTGCACGTGCAGCCTCCCTTAATTCCGCTGCAGCACTGCGCTGTGCTGGTGCTGAGAGGCTGGAAACATGCCACCTTCCAGAGCCAGGATTTTTGCCAGGTGATTTCTATTTCCTTTTCATGGGAATTTTGGAGCTACTGATGAACATTGCCGTTTGGCCATTTTGGTGATCTCCTGCCAGCGTCAAATTGTCTCATGTTGCAGATGCATTTGTCTGGCTGAACTCAGAGCAGCGCTGGCTCTGCTAAGGGTGAATTCCAAGCGCGTGGATGCTGTGCCTACAGTCTCTCACGTAGACCCTTTCTGGTGCAACACTACCATCCTTTCAGTTTCCTCTTGGTGCAAGCAGGTGGTGGGGACTCGGGGGTGCTGTAGGGTGCAGCCTGCTGCTGGATTACCCGCCTTCATCCGGGATGACAGCGGCCTCTAGTGCTGCCGAAAGCTGCTTTGCAAAGTTCATCTGCGACCTTGTTCGTGTAGGTTCAGTGCAGGGCCCTGTGGCCACATCTTCTCCCGGGAGTCCCGTGCTGCAGCCCCTCTCGAGAGGGTTCCTGGTGTCCCACGGCTCCTGCGCGCTGAGGCTGCTGGTGGAGCTGCGTGGAGGGGCGTCTGCAGGAGGTCTTGGAACGTGACTTGTGCCGTGAGACGCCTGGTGCTAAAGGAAGGTCGGGGGGGTCTGGGTCTCGCTGGAGCCTTTCATGTTACATGAAAGTTTGGTTCCCAGGACAGACTGAAAGGCCACCACGCAGCCCGCAGCTCGTGGTTAGCTGCCACGGGGCACAAGGCAAGCTTTGCCCGAGAACTTCTGCAAGGTAGATCCCAAGTCTGTGTTCAGTTGTGTGACCAGTTTAAAAGGACACTCCTGAATTTGAAATCTGGGCTAGTTTTGTAAGAATTAGGATTTTAATTTGTCCTTCCTCCCCCGCCCCTTGTTTATACAATTGCATTCTGCAATTGTATTTGTTCTTCCTGTTCCTCAGGAAGGTTCCAGCAAGGTGGTAGCACTTGCCGTCAGGCAAGCTGTTAGAGACAGGAAGCACATCTCTCTTCCTTGTTTTCTCATGTGCTCTGACCAGTTTTTCAGATAAATTAAGAACAGGAGTGAGGTGGGCTTGTTTTCCTGGCAGCTTTGGGGCTGATGGCTGTGCTCAGCTTGGCTTCTTCCCCCCAAGTGTCCCCTAGAAATTTTTTTCAGATGAAGAAAGTTCACTGACGTGCAAGGTGAATGTGTCTAGCAAACATTTCTCTTTTCTGCTTCATTCCCAAGAGGAATTTATTTTTCATTCTTCATGCCTTCATTCTAAGGATCCAGCTGCTAATTATAGTAGCATATATTAATAATATATTAATAACTGAATCCTCCTCCACCAGTACTATTAGATGAACAATTTTTGGCAAGTCCTTTTACCTCGTGATTCTTGTCCTGTCCAAATTCAGAGCATGACTCCTCTAGGGTGGACACAGATGCCCAGTATGTCTGTTAACCCTTATTATCTGACAAAAAAATAAGAAACCCTGATCTCTGTAACAGTTAAACTATGGGATTTGCATTCAAGGGGTATTTAAATCTCGCTTGAGAGGAACTGGTAGTCAAAGCTGTGAGCTTTGTGTCGCTACCACCTTGGGGTTTTTTCAGTGGTATTTGGCTCTGTAATCCTTATCGCTGACTGACGTGGAGCTGAGCGGTCTTAATTCTCCTGGGAAGGGTCCCTGGGAAGCAGGGTGGTGGGGATACTCCGGCAAAGCTGCTGCATGGCAAGGGACAGATTCCTGTCCACGCTGCGCAGCGGACAACAGAAAGTTAAGAGGTCTCTCTCTTGTGAAGGGCTGAACAATCATCTGGCACCTGCTGCTGAAAGCATTTCTCTGCCATGCTTCTGCACTTAATCTCTTTCAGATAAAGTTGTCCTTTTTTTAAAAGGCTGCTGCTGCAGATGACGTGGGAGGGCAGCAATTCTGCTGCCCATCGGATTGTCCATGTTGGGAAGAGGCGAGATTGCTCCTGCTGTATCAGAAATCGGGCTGTATTTTTATTTGGAAAAAGGTCGAGGTGTGGGATGAGGGTCACTGCTGCTGAGCCTCGCTTCCTGTAAAGGCGGCGAGCAGGTGTGCTGCTGCGTGCTCAGCTGCCGACTGGCTTTATCCAGTGCGCAGGGGATGGGCGGGGGGGGAAATTTGGGCATTTGCTTTGGGCGGAGGAGCCCAAGCTGTAGGTTGGCCTGCTAACTCAAAGCAGGAATATATGCGGGATCCTCCAGGAATGGTCAAGGAAGCGAAGCAGGGACCACTTGAGCTAGCCAATGTGAAAGAACTGCAGCTTGACAGCATGGAGAAAGCGGAAGGTAACGCTGCCTT